AAAGCCTAAACCCCAAACCCTAAAAAGACCCAGACTGCCAGGCCATCCTGGCCGGGCTCCTACAGCAGCTGGAGGCCCGTATGGTCACGGTTGCCTGTTGAGGTGACGAACAAGATACTACAGTCCAGAACCCTCCTTGTACCCCTAAAATGGTGGTATATGGTCCCGAATTAAGGGTATTTAGGGTCTAATGGAGGGTAGATCTTAGAGGGTCTAGGGTATCATGTACTTCCTAGTATGCTATGGCACATGATGGTATGCTGTAGTATGTTGTAGTGTATTGTGGTGTATAAGAGTATAGTAGAGTATATTACTGTACATGATCCATAGGACGATGACGATATGGGTTGCAAGGCTTGGGATTAGGATTCTTGTTGCAAGCTTCAGTCGCCGCCGTGCTTTCAGATCTTTCGCCAGGTTTGCTAAGTGCCGACTTTGTATTACAGGGGTGCTGCGGCTGAGTCGTGAGTTCTTCTGCCGACTTCAGGGCTGGTCCCACTCCTGTGGGCTCAGAAACCAACTCCACACCTGGAGTCATAGACATGCCTGAAGAGCAAAGAGAGAAATACACGTATGGTCCAGTCCACCCAGAAAGCCTGTAGTCTCACTACCCTAGACCCTTAATCCTGCCACGCGCAAAGTCCAAGATTGACGGGGTTAACCCTAAACCCTAAACCCATTAAAGTTTAAGGGTTTAGGGCTTTCCTGGTGCCTTTCGCCGCATGTGAGGCTTTCAAAGAGAAGCCGCTGCCGGCCCTCGAGGAGGCAGACTTCGAGAAGGCCGCCCACGAGCCTTACCCAAAACCCTAGACCCTCAACCCTAAACCCTAAACCCTAAACCCTAAACTTGCTAGTCTTGTTTAAGGGGAAAGGGGGGGGGAGATTGCTCTTCGGGGGCTTTGGGGCTTTGGGGCTTGGGGGCTCTTGGGCCTTAAGGCCCGGCCTTGTGGCCTTCTGGTTGCAGGGGCTCCCAGGGTTTATAGGCTTTAGGGCTCTACGGTTTAAAGGTTCTGCTTTGGGTGTGGATCCCGTTTTTCAGAGTCCGAGTGAAAAGATCCTATGACTCAAGGATACATAAGGCCTAGACCATTGTCCTCCAAGGTCAAGCCTCTGTCTGGTCCAACATTTTGGAGCCAAAAATGAGACGAGACCTATAGGGACGTTTACGTTCTTCAACACTGGAGGACGACGACTTCAACTTCCACATCGAGTTCATCACCCGCTGCGCGAATCTCCGTGCAGACAACTACCACATTGCCAATTCGGATTTTCACAAGGCAAGTTTGCACAGGGTTCTGTAAGCTTACGTTGTCTGACGGGCACGGCTTCATCAACCACAATCACTCTACAACTGCTGAGAAGGACTAATGTGTAGCAGAGGCAATCCACCATGATCTTGAGGAGTGAGGAAGCACGGCAATCGCATTATCGCGAAGGTCAAACTAGTGGCTGGACGCATTGTCCCTGCCATCGCCACCACCACTGCAGCAGTCTGTGGATTAGCCGGCAGCTTACTGGAGAATCGTCGAAGGAGCATGGGTCCATGTCGCGGAGGGCTTCCAGACTTTTCGAGAGGGATTGGCAAGGGTCGCAGCGCTCCAGATTGACCTCAGTAAGATGACGAGACGAGTCTGTGTTTCGCACGGGAGCTGACAAGAAATTGTTCTCTGGGTGATGTGCTGCAGCCACCAAGGCACACGAAAGCATAGGACACACGTCATGACCGCCGCACATTTGCAGTCCATGAAGCATGCAAGCCGCATTGTACATCCTCAGCAACCGTGAAGACAGACAGATCACATGTCGCACACAGGTACAGATGACAGTAGAGGCCCAAGGTTGAAGGGTCAGCTTTCAAAGCAATGCACCGTTTCTTTCGCCGCAAGCCGGCAGCCGGGGCTCCTCCTTCAGCGCCGGATGCGTGGCCCCAGAAGTGCCGAGGGACATATTTTTGGGCTACGGCGGTTTTTGGGCTACGGCGGCTACGGGCTCTAGGCTGTACAGCAATCGATGCAGCATGCTTCCGCTTAGATGCACCACGCCTGCCACCAGATGCAGGCCTGATAGGCCAGCAACTCTGAAATTCGCAGCCATTGCAAGGCCTTCAGGTACACATGGCTCCAACTGCTGAGTGTGAGACACCTAAAGTTTTCAGGGTCCTTCTCGCAGCCTGCTACAGGGTCACAAGCCTTTAGCTTTGCTGGGGGTGGGGGGGGGTGTCTAGTATATGTAATTACATATGTAACTGTACATATAAAGATATATACATATGTGTATGTAAAGAGAGAGAGAGAGAGAGAGAGATATATATATTTTTATTTATGTATTGATTTATGTATTTACATGTACACACATGTATACACATATAATCATACGCACATAGATGATTACAGGTTCATACGCATGAAGACTTACCCAAGTCGTTTCATTTGCATACAGAGGTAGAGGCAGGCAAGCAGGATGTCTGTAAAAGTTATACATGTCTCAGAGTGCCGTGTTCTTCTGTAGCCTCTCTCTCTCACACACACGCATCGCCCTAAATCCCTGATAGCCTCCCAGCCTAGGCCCCTAGACCCTCACCAAAAGCCACAGGTCTCAGTCATTGTGTAAGCCCCCAAGGACTCCAAGGACCTGGCCAAGGAGGAGGCTCTCGAGGCCGAAACCCGGGAGGCAGAGGCCGCCGAGAAGAGGGCGGCGGAGGAAGCCAAGGAGGCGCTCAGATGTAATAATATAGGGAGCCTTAAGAATTAGAATAGAGTTTGGGGTATCTTATTCTTTTGTTATAATAAGGAACCCACCCAAAACCCTATTCCAAAAAATCAGGCCCCTACATTAGACTTCGCCGGTTCTTTGGTGGGTTGTTGAATCAAGCACATCCCTGCGGATGCTTGTGAGTCTTAGCAGGACAGTAGCAACTCTTTGAAAGGATTCTTCTATTCAAGGAACAGAAGACTTGAAGCGGCATAGCAAGTGTCTATATAGTGCTTTCGTACTCATGTCCAGGAGTTTTCACATTTTCCCACTACCAATACGGCCTATTGATTACACTAATGCGCAGGCCTGGTGACCTTCTCTGCGAGACGATTATGTTTTTGCAGCCCCCATGAAGATTCAAACTGCCAGGTCCCCCATGGATCCAAGTTCAGGCCATCACTGCCCCCGTGAACCTCCAGGCTAGCTCGGTCCGCCCCTACAAACCCCCATCCCCCCCATCAAACACTCTCTCTCTCTCTCTCGCTCTCGCTCGCTTGCTCTCTCTGTGCCTATCTTTCTCTATCTGTCTGTTTCTATGCGTATAGTTATGATATGTTCGTTTGAGAATCTCAGAGTCTTCCCTGCCTCCTGAAGCAGGCCAAGGATGCTGCTCGCAGGCTCGAGGATGCCGTCTGCCGGGCAGAGGAGTGTAGGGCTCGGGGCGTTGATGCTTTAAGATGTGTAAAGCCCTAAGCCCTAAAACCTAAGTTGAGGCTTTGTGAGAGCTTTACTTTTCCTTTAGGGTGTGTGTGCCTGTGTCCGCGTGTGTCCGTCTGTCTGTGTTTAGGCTGTGTAGGCGTTCAGAGTGGGCTTTGCGAACCCTCTGTGTGAAGCTCTTGCTGCAACTGCTAGTGAAACCTCTGCAGGCCTTCCCAAGCCCCTGTTTGCAACCCCGATGACACTTGTGTTAAAACCTTATCAGAACCCATGAATCCGTTGTTGAAACTCCTACGGAATTGGTCAAACCCCTAGCCTTGTGAACCTTCAATCCCCTCGAAACCGTTAACTTGTTAATACCCGTATAGCGGCCAAAGCCTGTATATCCTAAACCGTGAGCACTCAACGTTCAACCACATAATCCTGAGTAGCCTGAACGCCATTTCCGAAGCCCGAAACTCTGAATGCCCACCCGTCTGGAAACCGGCGCCACGTGGCCAGAATGCCGAAACCCAACCCCAAACTATAAGCCCGGAAGAACCCTGAGCCCCATAAGTTTTGCTTGGAAGCCAAGAAGCCCTGCAGCCCCTGAGCCCAAAAACCCTCAACCCCTATGAAGCCAACTAAACCATAAACCCTACTAGCCCCCTATGAAACCCTATAAAACCCTCAAAAACTCATGAAACCCCTATGAAACCCTATAAAACCCTAGAAAACTCATGAAACCCCCATAAACCCTTCAAAACCCCTTACATCAGAGGAGCGGTTGCGTGCGACCGGCCCTGCCTCGGCCTTACGCGGCGAGGAGCTGAAAGGGGAGCTAAGGCGCCTCAGCTTTTTTTAGGTTTAGCTTTGAAAGGCCTCTTTTCTGTTTTTTGAAGTGCTTTTGAATTGCTTAGAGTGGTTTGTAAGGGTGTTGAAGAGATTGTTTAAGGGTTTAGACGGGTTTTGTGGGTATTAGGTTTAAGTGTGTTGAGGGGGTTTAGGGCTTGTACGTTTGGGTTTATGCGTGTTGGCCTTCTCGACAACAGGGCTCAGCGGAAAAGAATGTAAGCTCTCTTACTAAGTGGACATCTTGATGCTTAGGGAACCCTGATATAGACCACCATATAATGGACCATATATATATATGATATATCACCGAACGGTAGGAAGAGACATCCCAAGATTCCCTTAAGATCTTGCAACTCTAAAGCCTCGAGCCTCCCGGAGCATTCCCTGTCGAACCTAGGGACCTGGAGACAGAAGCGGAGGCGCTGCGGGCGCAGGACACTGGGATTTGGGAGACCCTTGAATAAGGTACCCTGTAAATTTGTATCTAAGTTTATAAGCCGCGTGTAGACTGCTCTTGGACACTCAACCGGAAGCATCGCAGCCCGTCAGCACCTTCCTCAACCCAGCAAACCCGGTGAAAGCCAAAAGATTGGTGAGCACTGCCGGGACACTCGCTCAGGTTGATTAGTGTACGTATATGGATAGACAGACAGTCGCAGACGCTGACAGCCAAATGGAAGGAGATGTCTTTGTTTGCTCCATGTGTATGTGTTTTTACATATATGGACTTGCATATCTGCAATGTGTCAGTTCATCATGCGTATGTATATATATAGAGGTGTGTATATATATATATGTATATGTATATGTATATGTATACATAGAGAGAGAGTGTGTGTATGTTTCTATGCATGCTGTTATTGTAGTATGTAAAGTGCGTTCATGTATTCGTGCTTGTCAGTGACGGCTAGTGGCTACGTATCTTGCTAGCTATGTATTTCTCCGCTGCAGGTATACGTGAAGCAGTTCTTCGACCCTCGTAAGCCCACAAAGGTTAGAAGACCCTACACCCCAAACACTAAAACTACCTACCGAATCCTATACCGTGCAAGTGTAACAGCCCCGGTACACCCTGAAGCCCAAAATCACTTTAGCCCAGAAACAGTAGACTCTAAGATTTAAGGCCCTTACAGACCTTAAAGTCAGTCCTAAATAGCTTGCTAGTTATGTACGACTTCGCCAAAAATTACAACACCCGGTACACCCTATAAAGCCCAGTCTCTGCTCCAAGGACAAAACGTCCGCCCTGCGGCTCTCCGCGCTGCGCCAGGCGATGCCGGCAGAAGACCTGCGGTGTCTCCGAGGCCCTCATGGGCTTTTGTTGTTTTTGAACGTTGTTTGATTGGAGTTTCTGCTTTAGGGACGTTTCCGGGGGTATCGCAGGGCTTTACATGGCTTTATGGCTTATTGTTTTGATTTTTAGGGTTTGAAGCTTTGCGGGGTTCAGGGCTTTCGGGATGCTTGGTGCTTTTTTGCGGGATTTGGGCTCCTTGTTTTTTTTTTCAGGTGTCGGGTCGAGAAGAGTCGTGTTGATTCCAGGAGTTGCAACGAGAACACCAGCAATCAAGTAGCAAGGAGTAGAGTAGCTACAACAGCCGGTCAGGAGCTGACCTTCCGGGCTTCAGGATTGACTGGTTGTGGGGTTTAGGGTTTAGGCTTTAGGGTTCAGGCTTTAGGGTTTAGGGTTCAGGTTTTAGACTTTAGGCTTTAGGGTTTAGGCTTTAGGCTTTAGGGTTCAGGCTTTAGGGTTTAGGGTCTGTAGATCGCTTGACTAGAGATCAGAGTGTGAGCCCTTGCCGCAGAGCATCTCCGAGATGAGCTCCATTCAACTTGGAACGACATGTCGTAACGCGGAGTGCCAGAATCCATTCTCCTGGCACTCATGTTTCCTCATGATTCTGTACGAGATCAGCTAGGGGGCCGCTTCCTGTGCATTTTAATTTTGTTACAAGGAAGACGAGAAGGAACCCGAAGCCTAAAACCAAATCCCATGGGCCCCGAAAACCCAAAGCCCGAAACTCTCCCGAAGGGCAGGAAGAGGCGGTGCGCGACGAGACGCGAGAGGCCGCAAGTCTCCTTGCCGAGCTTCGAGCTGAGGTGCCGGCAGCTTTAGGAGTGTGCTGTGGTGAACGCCGAGTGACTGGTAGTTGTGGTCTGGGCGTGGCGGTTACTCTTTGGTCATGGACCAAGGCATTCTGAGACAAGTCCCTCAAGCTTAAACGCTTATCCAGGAGTCGGCTACTTCGTTGCGAGTGGCTGCATTGCGCACATCCGTGGATGAGCTTCGTGCTTGCGAGGAGTGGGAATGCTCAGCACGAACGCTTTCCCACCCCCCGCAACCCACAGCTCCGACTCATCGGTGCGTTGCAAAGGCCACGACGACAGGCACAACAAGGCATAAGTCCACTGCCCACGGGGTGTGCCCACACAGTTGAGAGAGAGAGAGAGAGAGAGAGCTAGCTGGAGATAGAGTGAGATAGGGCTGGAGCTAGAGCTGGAGTTAGAGGTAGAAGTACAGAGATTGATAAAATCTCCGCAAACATAAAGAGATAGCTAGCTAGCGAGGTAGACAGATAGATATATCGGCAGGTAGGAAGGTGTGTAGATAGATAGGTAGGCAGACAGACACAAAGACACACGGACATACACACACACACAGAGACAGACAAAGCAGAAGCGCAGGACAGAGACAGACAGATAGATTCATCCGTCCAGGTCCACCCATCCATCCGTCCATCCATCCATCCATCCATCCATCCATCCATCCATCCGTCCTTCCACCCAACCGACCCACCCACCCACCCACCCACCGCCCCTCCAGCGATCCTTCCAACAGACCAACCAAACAACCAACCATGCATGCATGCATGCATGCATGCATGCTCGCTGGTACAAATACATGCATACATACATGGCTAGACGATCATGCATTTGCATCCCAACGGGAGGGGAACACGCTAAGACAGTGGAGACAGTTCAACCGTCCTAAACCCCCTAAACTATTAGGGTTCAGACACTTTATAAAAGCTTAGCTTGCATCACGTTAAGGAGCGCTCTAAGCATAATCTAAAGTATAATCCTTGCTACTGGTTAAAGTTAAGAACTCGAGGTATATGCCCGATTTATGCATAGGCTCCACAGCAGCTCCTTTTTGTGGCTTATATGTAGGATCCTATAAAGTAACCCCAAAAGGGACTACTCTATGGAGCCTATATCTAAACCCTAAATCCTGATCCCTAAACCCAAAACCGTAAACCCAAAACCATATATTTGCCCGTCGAGGTCGACGGGCTCTCTGCGATCACTCCAGCGCGTTCGGGTTTGACAGTTGCACAGAGCTTGCGCAGCAGCCACAGTAGTAGTAGCAGAAGTTGTAGATTACCTGGGCTTTGTTGGGCCACTGGTTAAGGCCACAGACCACCCTCAACCCCCACCCCAAGCCCCAGAACCCAAAGCCTTAAACCTTAATATTTCGGAGTTCAGGCTTCGTTGGGGGGGGGAGGGGAATTTCAAGATTGAGGACTCAACCCCAAAAGCCCCAAACCCTAAACCCTAAACCCCGAAAACCCTAAACCCTTAGGGCTTTGAGGTCTTCCGTTTAAGGCTTCGGGCTTTTCATGTTCTACAGGAGGCTCAGAGCACTCGTTTGTTTTCGGGACTTTAGGGCAGAGAGGTTCGGGCTTTAGGGCTTAGGGCTGCAGGGTTTAGGGTTTAGGGCTGTAGGGCTTTTAGGGTTTATAGGGTTTAGGGTTTAGGGCTGTGGGGTCTTAGGATTTAAGACATTTAGGAGTTTAGGTGTTTTGGGGCTCAGAGTTGAGGGCCGACTCCCTGTGATCTCTTGCTTCGAGTTGTTGGTGAGAGCTTCGGGGGAATGGCATGGTTGTTCTAAAGGGTCTTGTGAAGGAGGCTACAGGTTTTCATCATGGTTTGGGCACTTCAATGTACAGGGACCTGCAATTAAAAATCACCGAGCAACACCCTAAACCCTAAACCGCCAAGCGCTCATCATGAATCCTCACAGCCCGAACCACTGATTTCTAACACAACTGACCCGAAACACCACTGTCCTTGAGCTGTCTCTGAGATCCAATTACCAAAGCCTCAAGCAATAAAGGCACCCTAGCAGGAGCCATGGTACAGCTATCCAGAAGAAGCTGATACCAATCGAAGAAGCCGCCGAGATGTAGCCGTAGACTTCCTCGCAGTTTAGGGCCTCTTTGCTTTAAGTCACACACCTACAATCCCACAGTCACAAACCCCAACCCTCATAGCCAACAGCCCTGAAGCACCCCAGCTCTGCACCAGACGGTCTTGACGCCTAAATGCCCCGAATCTTCAATCCCTTACACCAACCCCAAACCCAAACGAAACCCTACCTGCTTGAACAAATCCAACCTAACTCTCTTTTCCTACAGTCTAGCAGCCATTGCCCATTGAATTAGTAGCTAGAACCCATAAAAGTCTAGGTAATTAGAGTTCCAGGTACACCCTGAACTCGACCCCCCAACCCCAAGCCCCGCAAACCCGACGCCTCCCCCCTGAGCAAACTCACGAGAACAAACTCTAAACCGTAAGAACCTGACCCTAAACCCTAAAACCCTAAATCACTAAAACCCTAAACCCTATAAGCCCTCAAACCCTAAACCCTAAAAGACCCTAAACCTCACAACCCTAAAACCCTAAGCCCTAAAACCCTAAACTCCTAAACCCTAAAACCCGATAAACCCTAAAATCCTAAACTTTGTAAAGCCCTAAGCCTTACAACCCTAAACCCTGAAACTAAAACGCTAAAGATCCCCACAGTCAGGTCCTCGCTGCAGATACGGTACGAAGTGCCCTGCCAACTCCAGGCCTCAAGAGGTTTAGGGTTTAGAGTTTAGCGGTTTAGCGGTTTAGGGGTTTAGGGTTGAGTTTAGGGCTTATAGGGGTTTAGGGTTTAGGGTTTAGAGGTTTAGGGGTTTAGGGTTTGGGGTTGACTTTAGTGCTTCGGGGTTTAAGGTCCAGGGATTAGGGGTTTAGGGGTTTAGGGTTTAGGGTTTAGGGATTTAAGGTTTAGGGTTTAGGGGTTTAGCGGTTTAGGGGTTTAGGGTTTAGAGTTGAGCTTAGGGCTTAGGGGTTTAAGGTTTAGGGTTTAGCGGTTTAGGGGTTTAGGGGTTTACCTGTACCCGGAAAGACCTACCTTTTTAGGGTTCCTGACTATGCTTTCTGTATATAGCCCCTTGAAAAGGTAGGTCTTTTCGGTTACAGGTAGGGGTTAGGGATTCAAGGTTTAGGGGTTTCAGGGTTTAGGGTTTAGGGTCGAGGGATTTAAGGTTTAGGGTTTAGGGTAGTTCCTTTGTTGGTTAACCAAATTTCTGGATAGGATCCTATCATATAGCTAAACCGAAAAAGGGAACTGCAATGGAGACTATAGGTAGAGCTTAGGGTTTTAAGCTTGAGAGTATTTTAGGGTCTAGGGTTTAGGGTAGGGTTTCGGGTGTGTGGTCCGAGAATGTAGAGTTTTGCGATGTCGTGGGTTGAGGCACATTTCTCAAGTTCGGGAGTTAGGGCTTGGGGATTTGGGGGTTCGCGTTTTAAGGTTGAATTAGGGGTTTATGGTTTAGGGGTTAGGGTTTACAGTCATTTGCAGGTGGGGTGTTGCCCCAGCCTTAAACCCTGGCCCAACTGAGCTTTCCGCAAGAGATGCGCAAAGGATCACCGCATAGAGCAGCACACCTGAAGGCCCCAAGCCCTAAACTTTTAAACCCTGAACCCCAAATCCGAAGCCCTAAACCCCTAAACCCTAAAACCCTGAGGACTTTATTTCTATTTATTTGTTTATTAATTGATTAATTTATTTATTCTCTTATTTATATGTTTATCCGTATAACAGTATGTTTCGTAATTATGCTATACATTGTAATGAACGGTATAAGAAGGGAGCCCCTAAGGCCCTAAGGAATAGCTTCGGTGCTTCCGCAGGCTTCCAGATTGCTGGAGAGTGTTGGGATTCAGTAGGCCCTAAACCCTACACCCTGAACCCTAAACCTTGAACCCTGAACCCTAAATAAAGGGTTCAGGCTTCAGGAGGTTAGCGCTTTTTGAGTTCGAGCCGACCAGAAAACCCCCTTCCTCGACTCGAGGTGCTGACTGGCCCGAACAGCCACATGAGCACGCTGTCCGAGCCGGATTCCCTCAAAAGCCCACTCTGAACCCTAAACCCTCAACCCTAAACCTCAACCCTCCTAAACCCTAAACCCAGAGCCCTGAACCTTAAACCCTAAACCCGAGCCCGCCTAGATCGTAGAGGAACACCTCCTTGAAGCTTGCCTAGGCTGCAGGGATCTGTCTGGGAAGCGTAAGCTCCGCTGAGAGAGGCTTAGGGTTCAAGGGTCCAGGGTTTGGGGCTTAGGGTTGCAGGGCTTAGGAGTGTAGGATGTAGCTCTGAGGGCGTTTAGAGGTTGAAGCTTGAGTTCACCTGGAGGCCTGTACCCGATTCCGACTTCACGGTGATTTGGCAGTTAGTAATCATAGCTTATGCCGCAAGCTATTTAGCCCCCCTCAATCAAAAGAAGCCAGGCTGTGGCATAGGCCTCTTGGTGAAGTTGAGGTTTGACGGCTTCGGGGTCAGAAACCCTAACTCCTAAGCAGCTCGCGGAGTGAACTTGGAGCGCCAAACATCATCGAGCAAAAACAACTATTGAGCGTACTGTCATGTACAGTCACTACGTGACAGCCATAGAGGTTTTCACAATGTCATGAGACGACGAACAGCAAGGTGTCATCTTAGGATTTCGAAGCTTCAGGTAATTATGGCTGTGAAGCGAGGAAGGACGTTGTTCGGCATCCTTTTGTTGTAACTAATCAGACTAATCAGAGGGCCATCGGCAAAGCTCAAGCCGAACCAGTGCGCTGTCATTCTGAAAACATGGACAGCCTGCTCAGAATGAACAGCACTCTTCAAGCTCCACATTCGGAGAGAGAGAGAGAGAGAGAGAGTAGAGAGAGTGAGAGAGAATGATGCCAAAAACCAACTTTAGAACAAGGCCCAGGTCAACTGCCACCATACTGCAGGCCCTTAACCCTTAGCCTGGCCGAGACCCCTTAACCCAAACCAA